TTTTTTCTCACTCCCCTCTCTTTTATTTCTCTTTCACTTATGTTAGTGTATAAGTCATCCTTACGGTGATAAATTTAAACTCGAATAAGAAAAATAATATTTAACAATTAGGCATTTTTATATTTGTTTTTTGTTAAGAATCTAATTTTAAATTAAACAAAATTAAATTTTTTATACATGGAAGTTGGTACGACACGTATACTATTATACAATAAAAGTTTCCTCTCCATCTAGTATCTGAACGATTAGCCATTTGTATTCATAACAAAAACACGATGAATTAAAGTGAATATTATGTAACTCAAACTTGAACAATACATGCATACGTGCAGCATATTATCCAATTCATAAACACTTAAATACGAAAAAATAGGAGAACATAGTAAGTAGGATTATTTTCATTTAGTTGACGTAGGTTGAAGAAATATAGATTAGTAAATTGGCAAATATGATAAGTTCCTTATGGAAAAATCCTTTGACAAATTTTCTTCTCGTGGTTAAGAGAATACCATCATCAACATCATTACCATTAATATAATTACTACTACTACTACAAATCCTGAACGTAATCGTGACGTACGACAACAAAGATTTAGGATATCTTTCGGGTCAGTTTTATGCGGAGAAATAGAACCAATCCCGATCGAGTCTCGATTGGAATTTAAATTAGCGCGCGTAAAGAGTAAAAAGAAAAGGAAAGGAAAAACAGAAAAAGAAAGAGAGAGAGAGAGAGGGTGGACTTTGAGGGCAGGCTCGTTACGAAACTTCGTTACTACCGGGTATTTTCAACCCCGAAGATCTCGATGGCCCCAGGGCGAATCCATTAAAGGTAAAAGCTTCTCGTTTACATCTGCCGTTCTCGGGGCTTCCCCCTCCCTCCCTTTACTTCTCTCTCTCTCTTTCTTTTTCTCTTACTCTCTTACACCAGTGGCGTTACGATTCTCTTCGAAACAGCAGCAGCTGGTTAGCGTGGCACCTTCTCGTACTTTCGCCTTTCCTTCTACGTAACCGTCGTATTATCCCGGCAAACCGATTTAAATTCTTTTTTTTTACCTTACTTTACCCCCTTCTCCCCTTTCATCATCCGTTATATCTACTTATATATATATATATATATATATATATATATATATTACTTTCATAATTGATATGGCATTCGTGAATTTTTACTAAAGAAATTCAGTCAACCTGCACGGGCAGGCAGGTTCTTACCTTACCTTATGTCGTATATTTTTTACCAGTTTCGTTGAAATTAGCAGGTATAGAAATAAAAAAACAATTTTGTTTATCTAGTCATTTTGTTATACGTTACTATCGTATAATATTATCTCGACAAACAAATTTGAGTTGTTCCTGTTATTTTTTTTTTTTTTTTTTCAGTTTTTTTCCTTATCATTTTTACGTGTTATGTTTCGTGACTGAAATGATATTTGTGATATTTTGTTAAGAAATAAATTATACAAATATTTAAATACCATACATATAGATATTTACTTGTTTACTAGCCTATTACATTACGCTCACAAATTAGTTACCACACCAATGTAAGAAAATATTTTTTATATTCCCCGTATTATTTCGGACAAACAAATTTATGTTTCATTTCTGATACGTTTCTTCTTCAATCGATTATATGTAAATGGTTCGTAATTGACAGGACATTTAGGAGTTTTTTTTCTGATATAATACATATGATTCGTTATTACTATTATATCGCTGTATTGCCAACAATTTTGTTACAACGCATATTGGAATATGATAGATCGTAATATGTAGATTGTTTATCCGAACTCACAGCGTTAGTGATCGCGTTAAGATTTATTACGGCTTCTTATTATACTTCTCTGTATGGCCTTCCATTCGAGCGGCTTCTATCAGTTACATCAAGTATAAATACAGTCGATTGATCAAGATAAGTATACATAGATCTTTTGATGGTTTCTTTTCGAACTATAAACACATTTACAATTTGTCTTATTTTTAAATTGCATTATTATTAAAACACACACACACACTCACCTATACATGATTATTAAAATTTTCATTTCTAGATATTTTCTTAACAAATTATTATTTAATCGAATTATTGTTCATTCGATTATTTAGATAAGAATTAAACGATTTAATAAAAAAAAGAAAAAAAACAAATAAAGATACATACTTCGCGTAGCTTGGAAAATCTCTTCTTATGAGTCGTTTGGAAAGGAAACCGAGCAAAGACGAAGCGTCGCGAAATCCAACGATAACGGCTTCGTGTGTGAGAAAAAGATCGTGCTGTGGAAGGATAGCAATGCGGTGGCAATGCGGAAGCGGTGCGAGGGAGAGAAAGATGCGTTTAACTGCGAGCACTCGCTTTAACACCGTCGAGATGCAATGAGGGGGGAAGGGAAGAGAAAGGAGGGACAAGGAACGTCTTATACACACATATTCACATACTCACATTCACCTATGTACCTATACAATCATCTATATGTTCGTACATCCTTACATTGGTATATGTATATATATATTCTTAAATTCCTTACATACTACATGTATACTTACATACCAATACATCCATTTACTCACCCATACATTCATCAATAGTTATACGCTTACATAGATACATATACAACACATATATACTTTCTTACACACGCAGATACATACATACATACATATATATATATATATATATATATATATATATTCATAGATAATGCGTGTACCTGCATTAATGTGTATACTTGCATATACCAATACATATACATATGACACGTATATATCTATATAGATATGTAGAAACATTCTCTCCGTAGAAACTCGGCAAGTTCACCGTGTGAGATTCGAGAAGCCGACGACGACCAACGACCAAGAGGACAAGCATGGTCGTCTTCTCTTTGTGCGTTCTCGCGTTCGACGAAAGAAATATCCGAGAGGACTTCAGTGAAAGGACAAAGAGCTTCCTTTCTATTTCTCTCTCTCTCTCTCTCTCTCTTTCTCTCTTTCTTTCGTTCGACACTCCTTTTATCGGTTCGCTGCTTTGGTGACCAATCCTTCCTTGTAGGAGAGTCCGTGAATTTTCGATAAAACCTTCATCACAACATTCCTCCATTATAAAATATATTATTATCCATTTGCTCGATAATTTGTTAAAGATTTCAAAAATCTTTCCAAAATTCTACTTGTGGTTATTTGAATCCTTATATCTTCAGGTTGCGTTACGTTTATCGTATGAGTCATGGCTTATCCTATGAATCATTTACTTGGCTTTTACACCTGTAGTATGAACTCTTATGAGCACAGGTAACACGTATACTTTAAATTCGAAGGATATATTATACCAAATAAATAATTCGTCTCCTTTAAATTTGAACGATAATAATACTAATATACTAATAATAATCATTATGATTAAGATCTTGATTTAAATCGGTAATATTATACTATGATATCAATGATCCAGCCAAAAGATTATATACTTCTATATATTAGAGTACATAACGGAGGACAGGTATACGCACATACACATCGACACACATACTTACTAATATACATGAGCTCATAGACGATGTGGCAGGACTATAATGTCGGAATGTAGAATCGAACCGGTTTACTCGAGACGCCGCGTATTTTCCAACGTCATGGTCACGTGAACGTGCTCTCTTAATCTCTCTCTCTCTTTTTCTTTTTCTTTGTTGTCCAGACAAAAATCACATTTATTTCTTCGCTTTATAATTATTTACATTTTCGCACGCGTGACCCTGACATTACGCGACAGTTTGCACAAATTTTTTTTCTCTTTTTAACAAACTTATAAAATATCTTTCACATATAAAGACAATAGAATGACGTCTAGTTTCAAACAGTCGGGAATTTACTAATTGGAAACGGATTTATGAATGAGTTGGACGAGATTATCTATAGTGATTATGAATAAGGGTATGCGTGAATGTGCATGATGCGACAAATAAATATTTCATTTTTCTTCTAGAACATCAAAATAATTTTGCAATTATATATTTATTTAATCTTTGTAAAAGTGAATATTATATATTTATCTGTAATGATAAAAAAAATTTAATTCAATCTAACTCTATATAATATCTGCATTTATATATTCAAATAAAAAAAAATTAAATATATCGCATAACCAATATATTAAAATTCATCATCAGATTAAAATCACATCATAATATAATTACATAGATTAGTATAAATATGTAATAACGCGATATTAATATCGAACAATCTGTTAAATAAAAAAATGAGGTATAGTCAAGTGAGGTATTATCTCGGAGTGTCATCGTGCGCACACGTAAACGCATAGAAAGCGCAATAGACGGAGTGAAGGGTGGGGAGGGAGGGTGTTTTATGGGAGATGGAGGAAGACGAGGAAGAGGAGAGAAGAGGGAGGGAGGGAATAAACACACGTAGAGAGATGCATGCAAGGCGGCACACATGCGGCCGAGCGGGAAAGTCTGGCCTGGCCAACCGCACGTTCCGAGTACGAAGCACGTGGTGTGTACGTACGACGCGCAGTTACCCCTTTCCGCGTCGTGCCGAGAGTACTGTCAGTAGTGTAGTGGTACCGCTCTAGTAGTAGTGGAATTGGCGCTACTAGTAGTGGGGGTAACGGCGGCGGCGGTGGCGGTGGAAATAGTGGTGGGGATGTATGTGCGATGGCGATGGTCCCGCTAATGGCAGTGTGCGTCGAGCGGCGGCCGTGTTTGTATCTCTGATGTATGTTTACGTGTAAGTGCGTGCGTGCGTGCGTGCGTTGCACTCGTTTTCGTTTAAAGCTGTTAGCAGCAGCAGTAAGCAGCAGCAGAAGCAGTAATAGCAGCTGCCTTCACACATATATGTATATATATATATACGTATATACACGCGTTTATACCATTGTATTATGTTTTGTTCTTTTCTTTATCGTCGTATCTCCTCTCTAATATAAAATATACGATTTAGAGATTTTGAATTATAACCTATATTTTTATTTTACAAGTGCCTCTCAGTACTATTGGTATTTTTTGTTTTTTGTATTCGGGTTAAATGTGACACTTCTATTTGATTCGACGATTTACTTTTTCTTTGTTATTTATAGTGAAGAAAGGAAAACGACACTCTTTTTAAAGTAAGAGGATAGTTGGTTCGTTCCGTTGTTTACTCGCGCGTGTGAATCAGTGGGATGAAGATGATCGATTGTTTTCTTTTCCTTCTATTATTCTTTCTCTCCTTCTTTAAAAATTTATCCTAGTGAAGTTGATACGTGAAAAAAAAAAGAAAAGTTTTATCCTCTATTATATTGCAGTGGAAAAATAGTTAGAGGGAGTTGCTAGTGAGTAATAACAGTGTGCGACACAAAACGTGCGGAATACAATTCGTGCATTATGATATGCGTCGGAGAGAATATGATTAGGCGATAGAAGAGGATATTATTACGAAGCTAAGAACGACATTGACGTGTGCCTTCTGACATATTTTTCTTATTTTGTCTCCCTTCTTCTTCTTCGTATTCTTCGTTTGAAAAGTCTAACCAACAAGAAGAGCCAGTCATATAAGTCTTATAATTGTTTACATCTACGTGTGTCGAAAATCTACATCTCCTATCGAATACAACGATTACATTTACGAGAACGAGGATTTAATCGTCGTGTGATTAATCGAAAATAGAAGAGAGCACGCTCTTGTTGACGTCATGCGTTCGATGAGCTCAGTCATTTGTGCAATCAGGTATGTATTACTTTACTATACGTTGATAGGAAAGAGAACATGACGATGATGACAATCTCCATGCAGTTCTTTGAAAATATATTGTCAATTCTTTTTTATCCCATTTTTGTCGTTGTCTGTTGTGTGCTCTTTAAGTGCTCTTTAACTTTTAAATCGATATCGCGAAGGTATTATTAGAGTTTTTATTTTTATAGGGATAGTTTAAAAGTTTAAATAGTTTTTTATAAAAAAAGATGTATTATCTATACACATATAATGTATATAAACTTCATTATAATAATATAATAAATATAAATAAAATGTTATAAATTACATATTTATTATATTACATTATATTTTCTATCATTGTGTGTGTATATATTAATATATTTAATTAATCAATGAAAGTTTTCTTTTCTTTTTGTATATACTTATATTTATATAGTCAGATAATTAGTAAAATTCTTAAATATATATATACATGTTATCTACCTTCTAATCTCGCAACATTAGAAAATATATATATATATATATTTTTTTTTTCCTTTTTTTCCTCGAGAGTAAACTAGCACGGAAAGATAGTAATCGCATTTCTCGTTCATCAACGACGGGGAACTTCTTACCTGCTTCTCTCTTACCTCCAATCGTGTTCGTGTTTTCTGTCTCTTTCTCTCTCTTTCTGTCTTTCTGTAGCGTTTCTTGTTCGATCCTACAGCAAAGCATTCGGTTCTCTCGGGCCTTCACCGAGATCCGTCCTCTTTGCTCGAATCAGTCTGTACGATTCTTCTTGTACGATAGCCACGTGGAATTTACCTTCGTCTTTTACGATTCCTCAAGTAATTTTTCTTTCTTTAAAAAAGTATCTCTCTCTCTCTCTTTCTCTTTTTTTTCTTTCTTTGTTCGATTTTTTTTGTTACCTGCCAATGACTCTCTGAATTTATTTCAAGTGATAATCAAAAGTGAACGAGTGTTAAACAACGATAATAATTTCAGGTGAATAGATAATTTGATCTATTTATTATTATATAGACAAAAAAAGAAAACAACAAACTTAATATTAGAACTGTCAAACGATAAATTAATTATATCCCATTTCTGTTAAATATTAATTATCGTTTATTGATAATATGTCATTGAGAGAGAAATAAATTTTCATTTAAATTACTTTTTGTCAATTTAAATATATACTATTTGATAATAATTTATAATTAAATAATAATAATAACTAAATAATAACAATAACTAAATTTGATAATAATTTATATGAAAGTATATGAACAAAATTATTAATACTGATTTACTCGAGACAGCAGAAATAATTTTTTGATAATATAGTTCTCTCAGTAGTATATTTTTCCATACCATGAGATGATGATTCATTTATTTTATATTATTTTCCCATAGGGATGATTCATCTAATTTTTGTTTGTTTCTTTCTTTCGTTTTTGTTTTTATTTCTTTTTTGTTTTCAATGGGATATGGGTTATTTTCTTTCTATTAATTAGAAAATAACCAAATGATTTTATGATTGAATAATATCGCGAACATATATGGATAATAATTAATCATCGTATTCGTATTTGAAGTAATACAAATTGTAAAAGGAAGGAATAATACTCGTGTCATAGAACGAAGAGAAAATCTCGAGCTACAGAGTTGGACTTTCCGTAACGTAAGTGTTTCTTGCACGCACGTCATCCGGTCTTGCATCCGTACATCGATTTACTGTATTTCGTTACTACTTTAACTTTAATTCTTTCTCTCTCTCTCTCTCTTTCTCTCTCTCTCTATTTCTATCTATCTTTCTATATTTCACTATATATCTATTACTATTCCTGTTTTTCATTTGCTGTACTATCGATACACACCTACGCTTAAACGCGTGTGCGTTGGTTATACCTGCCTACGCGTTATTCCGCGAATGCTTGCTTATTATTTATTTTTTTTTCTTCTCTGAAATTAGTAATACAGAAAGAGAAATAGTTTCGTATCTCATTTCATTATCCTACTTCTTTTTCAATCGATAATATATCTTTAGTTTTTCTTATTTTATTATAAAAGTTATATTTATTTAACTTTTATATAAATATATATATAGAATGAGATCTTTAATTCGAAATAATCGATAAAAGTTATATTAAATAAATTTGCTTATTTATTTATTCGTTTTGTCTTATTTTAAAATTCGATATTTAATTTATTTTTCCTTCTCCCCCTTCCAAAAAAAAAAGAAATAAAACAAATATTTTTTTTTCCTAGAATTTTTTTCATAAAGTTCCTATAAAATATATTTCCTTATTTCGTGGTATTGTGATTATCTTTAAAATCCTATATTGATTTATTTTATTTATTTCTAACACACACACACACATACCACACATATATTTTGTAATAAACATTTTTCGATAAATATTAACGATAATAAGTAGAATTTGAAAGTCCTATGTTAGTAAATAAGAACGATTTTTCGTTCGTACGTTCGTTCGTTCATACATACGTTTATTCTTCCTCCTCTCACGGTCGTTAACCGTTCTGCAAATATTCTCTCGAAGTGGCGAAAACAATGAGTTTCACCGTGTATGTATATACAAATTTACAAACACACACATATATACATATATATATATATATATATATATATATATATATATATATATATATATATATACATACAAACATGAATTTGTATGTAGTATTTAGCTTACAATACATAGAAAAACATTCGTACTTTCGGAACGGTCGAGACGATCGAGAGCGGAAGTACAGGGGACCTCTTTCCTTTCTTTTCTTTCTTTAACTTTACCTCCACCTCCATCTTTATCTCTTTCTCTTTTTCTTTCTCTTTCTCTTTCTCTTTCTCTTTCTCTTTCTCTTTCTCTTTCTCTTTCTCTTTCTCTTTCTCTTTCTCTTTCTCTTTCTCNTTCTCTTTCTCTTTCTCTTTCTCTTTCTCTTTCTCTTTCTCTTTCTCTTTCTCTTTCTCTTTCTCTTTCTCTTTCTCTTTCTCTTTCTCTGTCTTTCTCTCTCTATCTTGACGAAGACACGGCGACTCGCTCCGACGGCTTCTCGTCACGGTTTCGTGATCACCTTTCAAGACATCGGGATTATTGAGCGCGTTCGGTACTAGAAAGGAAAAGAAAGAGAGAGAGAGAGAAAAAAAATAGAAATAGAAATAGAAAAAGATAGAAAAAATGTTCTAATGCTGTGACTATATAACAATACTTCTATCTTTGTTTTACTTTATGCGTCATTGTACTCGCAATGTGTCATTGCAATCATCATAACATGCGTTACTTAGCAAGAATTTTCTTTTAACGTTAGACAGAGATAAATAGATTGTTAGATACTTATGTTAGATAGATAGATAGATAGAGTTGAGATAGAATGATATATGAAGAATTTTAGATTAGTTTCGTTTAAAATGTGAGAGAGTAAGCCTACGTTACAAGTTAAATTCTTCAAATGTTATCGAATTGTCATTCCTATTAAAGTTATTTTAACGTGTTATGAAAGTATTGAAATAACTATCTTAGGTAATCTCGTAATAGTTTGTGGAAAAAGAAGAAGATTATTTAGTTTACAGCTGTCTATAATGATAAGAATATTGTCAAGTGTTTAATCGGGTTTTCACGTATTTGTCATTTTGTTATATAAATTTGTAACTGTATTAAGGTATTTCGATTCAACTTATCTCATCTTATTTCATCATCTTCTTCTTCTCTCTCTCTTTATTTCTCTTTTTTTAATGTATGACGAAATCATTAAGGAATATGTATAGATTGAAAGAAACTTCGTCATTTTCCATATTCTTGTATTATTTCATTTTCCTTATTTTACTCTCGATCATTTAATAATTTGAATAAATAAATTGCATCATTAAGTTTAATTATTTCCATCCCTTTTTCTCGTTTGATGAACGAGTTTTGTTATAGATTGTATAGGTAAAAGTAATTGGCACAATGTATTGAATGAAATTATTGGAAAAATTGATTTTATGATTTACTTTTTATTCCAACTTTATATACACATATATATATTATCAACTTTTATTTATTTCATATGTAAAATTGGTCGTTTAAATATTTCACATTACAATTATTAACGTGAGAAAATGTTATATGTATAAAATTATACAATTTTCCAATTATTTTAATTACATAATTATTAGGGTGGGTCAAAAAAATGACTTATTTTTTTTCAAGTGCCACGGAAAAATGGGTTGCTAGACACCTTAAAACAATTCTCACCAAATATGAGCTCTTAATTTTAATGGGAAGATCCTCCGCATCGCAGTTTTTTATTTTTTTTTTTTTCAGTCTAATAGATTATAATTCATACCTCATTATTTATTAATTGTACAGAAAAATGTTCTAGACGAATCTTGTAGGAAATTTAATGCTCTACAAAAAAGGTATCATATATTTTTCCCGTAAACCTCACCATTTGAATGATATTGAAGATTTAAATTTGATGATTTTTAGACAAATTTCATTTTTGTTTATGAATTTTATAACTCGACAATAAATCACTATTACAAGATGCACAATACAAATTTTTGTAGGAAATTAACTGCTCTATAAAAATGGTGTCTTATGTTTTAGCGATTAAATTAAGTGTTCAAAAGATATTCATAATTAAACTTTCATGTGTACTGATTTTTGTCTCTGAACCTTTTTCGACACTCTATATATATGTGTGTACACACATATATACGCGAATCGATTACTTTGGCAACTTACTCTCCGACGCATTATCGACCCAACGCGTTCTTGATATTTGGAACAAGGCTGACCGGTCGATGCCAACATTTTTTTTTCTCTCTCTCTCCCTCTTTCTCTTTCTATCTCTCTCTCTTTTTTCTTTTCATTTTCATTTTTATCTTTTTTTTACTCTGTCTCATACCACCACCCCATACTTTGATTTCGACATTTAAAAACAAATAGAAGTAAAACGAATATATGGGAAATTTATTCATGAAAATTATTTTTTTTTTTTCTATCTCCAATTAATAATCCATCCGTGTG